CCCTTACAGCGCGTTCCCGGGCACCTCAGTTCGCACGCAACTACTCTGCAAATGCCCTGCCGCCTTCCACAGTCATACGCTCTCGGTTCCGTAGCATAACCGAGAATCTGCCAACTGGGACACACGGCGCCAAGCGCCAAATGGTCGACTACAGCCCAAGCGCAACCGCAGATAACGCGTCTGCTTGGCCTCTGAGTCTCGAGACGCCCATTCGTGCCACATCAGGCTACGCCAGCGCTGCAGCTCCATTGGTCGACACACTACTACGGCCACAGCGGCTGTTTGCGCATATTTCGCCGCTGAACGACAGCAAAACACCAGTACGCCGGGGCGCAGGCAATCATGCCAGCTCAGTCCAGCAGTCGCCTGCTCGCAGCATCCTCGAGTCCGCACACAGGGAGAGCGAGAGTATTGGCAAGCTCGAGGCATTGCGCAGGGATGCCGAAAGAGCCAAGTTCGAACTGCGCCAGGCGGAAACGGACCGCGAGCATGAGCGCATTGATGCTAAGCGCACACAACAGCGACTAGAAGCAGACTTGGCGGCCCAGACCAAGCGGATTGACAAGCTCGAGCGCGATCGCAAGTGGCTGTTTGACCAAGAGGAGCAGCTGGCTGAACAGCGGCGTGCCGTGGAGCGCGAGATGTCTGCCCAGCGAACAGCCTACGAGGCGCGGATCGACGAGATGGCTGAATCAGCGCGTGAGCTAGAGCAGCGCTTAGATGACGCGCATCGCGCAATGCGGCGGCTCAAGGCGGACCACGCAGACCAGACCGATAACTTGCAGACCAGATTGTCCAGGGCTGAGCGCACTGTTGCGGAGCTCCAGGCCACCGACAAGAAACATCACGATGGTGGCTCGGCGGACGCTGCGTCAATGCAGTACATGGTGGATTCGATGAAGCGCGATCTGCACACAAGGAACCAGGATATCGAGGAGCTGCAGCATCGCCTCCGGGCTGCCCTCTCGAGCGAGGACGCAAATGGGGATGATACAGCTACTCTGCCGTTGCGTGAGCGCGCCGAACGCCTAGAGCGCGATCTACGCGAGCAATGCGAGTACATCAAGGCTGTCGAGCAGCAGAACAACCAGCTACGCAGCAAAGCCCAGTCGCTGACCGATGCTGCTGCAAAGTACGAGCGCGAGCGCGAGCTGGCCCGCTCTCTCCAGGCCAAAGTCGACCGCCTTGAAAGGCGCCAAGAAGAATACGCAGAAGCCGAGGCACGTGTCACAGCTCTGCAACAGGAGCGCGACCAGTGGAACCGCGTGTTTCAGGAAACCGGCGATGCCAGCAAGCAAGCCAATCAGCATGCGCCATGCTCGCCGTTTGCCGCGGCCAAGACTATGACTTCTCAGAAGCACAGGATCCAGATGCTCGAAACCAAACTTCAGTCTCTGCAAGACGCCAGGGACTCGGATGACCAGCAACTGCAGCGGATCGTCAGCGAGGCACAGACATATAAGCTTGAGTGCGCACGCCTTGAGAGCATCCTGACTGCTGAAAATACCCGCATATTCAAGCTGGACACTTCTAGGCAGCATGCTGTGCGCGAGGCAGAGTTTTTACGCTCTCAGCTGCACTCGTACGACTGCGAGGAGGCGTCTTTTATGGCCGGCAACTACGATCACCAGAAGACCGCCCGTATCGAGCAGCTTGAAAAGTTCATTGACGAGCAGCGCACGTGGATTGCGTCGCTTGAGTCTTTTGGCGGCACACCCAATGCCGCCACCTCGACTTCTCACAGCGGGTTGGAGACGGTGTCGGCGTCGCTGTTGCAAGGCTATCGCAAGGACGCTGAGACCAAACAAAGTGAGCTCGATGGGCTCCGCGATGAGCACCAGCGGTTGATTGGACGGTATGATGAGCTGGAGAAGGAGGCTGCGCGGCTGGAGCACCAAGTGGGTGCTGGGCTTGGCTACGATCCGCGCACTACTCGGATCCTGCAGCTCATCGACAACCCGGCGGCGCAGGACTATGCGATCCGCTCAGAGAAGCTCGCGGCTATGAGTTCCGAGAACGAGGCGCTACTCGAGCGCATCCGCCAGCTGGAGAAGCAGCAGCAGCAGCAGCTACAGCATACGTCGCTTTCATCCACTGAAACTGGCAATCTTGACGATGGGTCAGCGGATGACACAGCAAGCTCGCCGTTCTTCCACACAATCGACAATCTGCGCACCGAGAACCAGAGCCTGACGAAGCAACTGGAGGACTCGGTGAAGCTCATCAGCAGATACAAGAGGGAGTGGAAGCGCAAGGCGGCGGAGCTGCGCGATGTCGTCTACGTCATCCTCGGGTACCGCGTGGACTTTCTGACCAACGGCAGCGTGCGCTTCACGTCCACCTATGCCGCCGACGTCGACCAGAGTTTTGTCTTCACCAGCGGCGACGACAACCAGGGCATCATGCAGCTGACAGGCGGCGGCAGTAAAACCTACCTGAAGAGCCTGACAAACGACATCCGCTACTGGGTCCAGGAGCGCGGCAGCATCCCTGGCTTCATGGCAACCATCACGCTGCAGAGCTTTGAAGCCCAGCTCGACCAGGCCCAATGATAAGCCCCTCCCATTCCTTTTTGCACTTCTACACACACACACACACACACAGTTATTACACACAGTTCTGAAAACTAAACCTCACATCGAACAACACACTTGGTTCGCAGGCATTGGCTTTTTTTTTATTGATTGAAAGTGGCAGCAGAGCCCAGCTTAAATGTCGTTGGCAGCGGAGATGATCTTGGTGAGCTGCTCAAACTTGACGCTTTCCTTGATGACTGTGTTCTTGGCTTTGTTCTCGCTCTTCAGCGGCAGCGTGATAATGCCATTGCTATCGGCCGGCCAGTTGTGCTCCTTGCACAGACGCAGAACCGCTTCCTCGTCCAGATTGACCATCTTCTCCACGGCCTTTGCCGCCACAGTCTGGTACGTGCTGGTGATCTGGCCAATGATCAGCCTGCGCAGCCCATTGTCGAATCCGGCAATACCGTCGACAACCGACTCCTCGTCATCGTCCTCGGCGCCATACATCTCCTTCCAGAACTTGTCGAACTGCGCGCCCTCAAGGTAGTCCCTGAGCACAAGAAGCTTACCAATCGACACATCGCTGCAAATGTCGTCCGACAACAGATAAAGGCACAGATTAAAGTCGCCCTGCGACTGCGAGATCAGCGCCTTGGCCAACACACGCCGGATGATGTCCAGGTCCACAAGGTCGGGGTTGAACTGGTACATTTTCAGAAGCGCCAGGTTGGCCATCAAATCGTGGTTGCTTACAGGGTCCGGGTTGGCGCACTGGCGTACCAAGTAGTCCTCCAGAACTCCGGCCTTTTGCGGATTGTACCGCTCGACGCCTGTCAGGAGGCTGTGGATTTCATCTGGTCGTGTGGATGGACGATCGAAAGACGTGCTGGCCATTTTTCGTTACCTTAATTACTACTCGTTTTCTTCTTCTTTCTTTCCGATGGTCTAGCAACAACCAAGGTTTACAGAATAATAATAAAGATAAATGGACTGGAAATGCAAGAAAAGCGACTGGAAAGAAAAGAAGGAAAAAAAAAAATTGAATTCTCAATCGGACAGTCTTTTGTCGGCTGAGACTTGCAAATTGTAAATTTTTTTTGTTGGACTGACTCGGTTCGCTCACAGCAACCTCACGACCGAGCCTACTTTGTTTGATTTAGAAGGGTGGTGTGTTTCGCTCTTTCAACCCTTCTAACCCCCTTATTTGTTTTCTAATTTCATTTGTCTGTACTTTTCTTTCTTTCCAATACACAAGCTCTTGTTATCTTGCATACACATCAAGGAAACATGGAGCTCGAATACACCACTTACATTCGTAGCGATTTCATAGAGACGGACACGGGCAACAAGGTCAGCCGCAAGTCGCTCATTTCGGGCAGCCAAAACATAGTCCTTGGCGGCAAAACGATAGTCCACAGCAGATGCACGATCCGCGGAGACCTCCGGCGCGCAGGACCCAGCCACCAGGCCGCCGTCTTAATTGGCCGGTTTTGCTCGCTCGGCGAGAACTCTGTGCTCCGGCCCCCGTACAAAACATACAAGGGCGTGTTCAGCTACTACCCGCTCAAGATAGGCGACCACGTAGACATTGGCGAAAACTCAATAGTCGAGGCGGCGTCGATCGGCTCCTTTGTCAAGATCGGTAAGAACTGCATCATCGGCAGGTTTGCCATCATCAGGGATTGTTGTCTCGTAGAGGACGGCGCCGTCATTGCTCCAAACACCGTCGTACCCCCGTTTTCGGTTGTCTCTGGCGGCCCGCCTGCAAAAGTCGTTGCCCAGCTTCCAGAGTCCACGCAAGAGATATTCGAGGCCCAGTCCAAGGACAACTATGCAAAGTTTGTTCCTGCCTAGTTGTACGTTAATAGACTGTTGCTGTGTCCCAGAGATCGTTCGTTTATAATAGTTCGCTTATTTCCGAGTTAAGCGTTTTTTTTATGGCGCAACATCTTAGCGCAAGTATATTAGGATAACCCTAACAAAACTAATTAAATGAAAAAAGCCTTGCCGGGAAATCTGGGGGGCCCCTACAGTTGTGAGACCGCCCTGCCATTTAGGCGGAGGAGAGAGAAGGAGGAATGGCGGAAGGACTATCGGTGGTGTCGAATCCCGATTGCCCCGAATGAGAGTGAATGAAGTAGTTGAGGCGGCTGTCAGTGATCGGCGAGTTGCGGAATGAAAGAGTCCCGCTGAGCTCGTCTCCGCCTGGCTCAAAATGATACCACCGGTTAGACACCTTTAACCAGCGATCATGAAAGAGTTCGGCCGCCTCTTCCCGATTGAATAAGTAGTTGAAATCCTGTCCGATACCTGCCTGGAGATGCGCTGCACGGCAGAGGAGGAACTTTTTTCTAATTTTTTCTTTTTTTAGGGCTGAGGAGGGACGGTTTATCAAAGTTACCTTTCTCAAACACGTAAAAACGCTAAATAGCTCAGAACCGAACGCAAGTTTTGGCTCTGGCTTAGGGCGCCGGAACGCAAGTCAGTTTGGCCGAGTGGTTAAGGCGACAGACTCGAATTTACTTACGTGACATCTGTTGGGTTATACCCGCACAGGTTCAAATCCTGTAGCTGACGCTTTTTTGTATCGTTACCAAAATTATTATTGCATTTCTACGTGTTGCTTCTGTTGTCCCTTCAAGTCGCTCTATCAAGCGGATCAGCTTTTTTTATTTTGGGGAACATCAACAAGGTGGTCATCTAATGGTCTTTTCACATTCGTAACGCTATCAATCGGTTACTTCATATCATCTTTTCACCTTGGGCAAAGTGAATAAATGCGGGCCCCAAAATGAACTGATGATCCGCAGCAGTTGGATGTGCTGTTCGGCTCAAAGTGATCAACAGAGCGATCGCGTTGCTCCCTTGGGTGGTGTCGTGGCGCAACCTCTTGCGCACGACTAGTTTTTTTTTTCTTACCTGTCAAGTAGCGCCAGGGCTTGTATAAATAGCTTGCGTTTCCCACTCCAACAAACATTTTTGCACACAGTGCTCTGCACTTTATTCACAGTCTATCGTCTGAAACATATACTTTTCATCCTAAAGAAAATGACACACTTTAACGACGACATCGCAATCTACGCAAACGCTGTCCAATATCCCAAATGTCCAAACTGCAACCAGCAATTTCCTTTACTAGTTGATTTAAGCAGGCACCGTGCAATTTGCGGCAAATGAGTCATGTTATAATTAAGCGTGTTTCTCTGTTCAGTATGAAATTCAGGTTAATAAATGACGATAATTAATGATTGTTTTAAAGAAGCCCTAAAAGTGACGATGTTGTCTTTCTCCGAATCGGCACTTGAATTTGCGGATTTTCCTACAGTCAACACCACACCGTAGACAAGCGTGTAAATATCGGCAAGTCGCGTATTTTAAACGACCACTTGTTACAACAAAAGATACGCCAAAATATGTTGATGTAAGGAAATTGCTTCACTTTTGTGCACATCTTTGGCGGTTAATGGGTTCGCTAAAGCTAGAGCGTCAAGTGATCTATGATTGAAAGAATGCAATGATTGTAGGAAAATCCTCTAGTGACCATGAGACTTGCAGCTTATGAATTACTGATGGACAATAAGAGTGTACGCTGCCATCTATATATTTGCATTCGGAAACCCGAGTGAGAAACGGCGAGGTCTCCCCAACACAAAACTGTGAATTTTTTTTATATTTATTGGAGTTGCTAAAGCGGTTATATCTGCTATAGTTTATAGTGGAAATCACTGTCTTGTGACAACGAGACTTGTTAAGCAACGACCATAGTTTCATTTAATAATCGGCCAATGCGCACGAGAAGTGGTGGATGTTTAACAGAATTTAAAATCCTGTGTCTTTCCAACACGAAATAAAATCGAACAATAAAATATATAGTGCCCAGCAAGTAGCTCCACCATATAAAAACCCATGGATTCCCTACAGATGAATCCCTTTCAACATTTCCATCCCACATCATCCAAGCATTCTCCGCATAGTCCTTATTTTAACATACTGAAATAGCAACACCCATCAAACATGCCTGGTAAACCTGTGTCGCCTCCTCCTCCTTATACTCCTGAACCTCCTCCTCCGAAGGGTGATATCCAGCCACTCACCCCAATAGTTAAGAAGCCATAACGATTTAAAATCACAAGTGCATCTGGTTACTTGCAACGGTCCAAGACATGATATAAATATGTTATCCAACATGTGACACGAGATACTGGTACTTTTAAATCTGAGAAGTCTTCTTGGAGACCTTGATGTTAAATAGATAGTTTTACAT